TCCTCTTCGCTTTGGTACTCTGTTGCGGCGCGTCCCGTTTCGAAAAACCTAAACTTGAGGGCGCCTTACATGGTTGCAATATTCACTTTTATTACGTAAAAGTTTTTTTTAAAAGTTATCATTTGGAAAAATAATATTTTAATAGGTGGTTCTTCTCAACTGGTCCACCAAACTTCAGCATTTCAGTCGATATCCTATCTTCACCAGGACACTTACCGTTTTTCATTTGTTTTAGCGCTTTATTTCTGGGTTTGTGATATCGGGTAAATCTTCCGAGCCGACATTTAATATTTTTCGGATTCTTTTCATTGGGTTTTTTAATGTTGATAAATGAAGGGGAGTGTAAAATGTTTCGATGGTTTTTGCTATTTCCTTTTTCTTTGTCATAATTATGTTGTTTTCATCTTTTATTTGTATTAATTGTGTTTTCCCTTTTGATAGTTTTGTCTTTAACACTTTCATACTGCCATTCTGTTCAATAGTATTCTGCATCAGTTTGGTGTTTTCAGTTCCTCTTTCCGTATGCGTTTCTTGATATTTTTATTTAACTCTTTGTATTGCTCTGTGTGTCTTTGCAACTTTCTTCTGTTGTTTATAAGATTTAAAGTGTTGGCTGATAGTGAATTGTTTGCTTGGGCTTTGTTTTTAGAGCACAACTTTTTAACGCTGGTACGAATACCTGATTCTATTTTTTGGGTAATTTGGTCTATGCTTAGGTTGGTATCAGAGTTAACAGGTTGTAGCCTGGTTTCTAATTCTTTTTGGTATTTCTCTTTGTCAGTTTCAAGTTCCTGGTGCAGTAGCAAACAAGGGTCTTTGCACAATTTTATTTCTTTATTTTGCGAAAATAATTACAAAACATTTTTTTTAATGGAAAATATTGTCGCTGTTTGACTTTGCATATTTTCCTAACCACTTGAGACAATTTTGAGTATATGGTAATCATTCGACGCAGAATTTTCTTTATTTTAATTTATAGAACAGTAAAAATTTCCTAGAAATGCATCCTTTAGGAGTTATTAGGGCAAAACTGTGAAAAGTCAGGAAATTTCCAGGTTTTTGGGACACCCCATATAGAGCACAAGCAGAAAATTTATGCAAACTTCAAAAAACTCTTTTTACACGTAAATGAAAAGATTAAATCCTTTTCAAGCTTTCCGATAATTGAGTATGTTCCCTGGCCTAAATACAGGGTGCACCATTTAAAAGAGCGTTTAATTCTCTTCCAGTTGATGTCATTTGAAAGAAATTTTAACACTCTTTTAAAACAGGTATCACTCGACCCCGTGTTTCATTTGGAATGGTAAGGGAGCTTAGCCTGTTTCGTTTTAAATGGTATACCTTGTATATTTTCTAATAAGAACGACCAGGAGGCAGGAGTTAGGCCGAGGAAAGTCAAAAAAGCTGAAAAGATTATCCAAGGAGATTATCAAGGAGTTAAGGAATTTGGCAGCAATTCGAAAAAACTTGGACTTTCGGTTGAGCCAGACTCTGCAAGTGTCTGAGCTGATGAAACTAGGCTCGTTGAAATTTGACGATCTGACACAGTTTTCGTTTTGCGTAGAAGAGGCTCTATTCAAATTGCAAGCGCAAAGAGACTATAAAATAGAAGAAGTGCAAGTTACCTAATCGACGAATTGAATATTGAGCAAAATTCAGAAAGGCACATCGAAAGAAAAATGGTCATCAGGATGCGATTTTTTTGTAAGATTTACAACTGGGATGCCAAATATTGAATTGGGTAAGTTTGATTCCATGAATAGACTTTCACAAATTATTATTGAAAATTTATACGTAGGTATTAATGATTTAAGACGGCAAGGCAAAGAAGTGGTTAGCAGGCACGATATTATGCCGGTAATAACTGAAAAATGGATTAGATTAGAGAATGTTGAATTTCATTTCTGCGTACAAGATGAATATGAAAATACTCATCATTAAGTGCCACAGATAAAAATGCATTCCACTTCTAAGTACTGTCTATTTTCCAAATTTAAGCCCCCAGATGCTTGTTACATCGAACTGATGCGATCTAGAGTTAGGTTGCCCAAAAACAGAGTAACTCATAGCTCAAATATGTGTTACATGAACTAACTAGAGTAAGAATTCTAATAAAACATTTCCATTTTGTTTGAACGCTAATAGCTATACAGGTAGAGCTTAGAGCAGATGTTCTAGTGCCTGGTTTTGCGTCTAGAAAACTACGTTTATTTCCCATTGCAGAATTCTGGATATTTATGTTAAGAGTAGAAAAACATTTCAGAAACGGATCGGTTGAATCTGCTCACTACACAGGAGAACTGACAAAATCAAGGGTATAGAACGAATTTAAGGCACAATGGATAATTTTTAGGCAAGCGTCATTGAAGTCGCTAAATACGAACATCAGGATCGAGCTATTGTATGGAGGTGTTCACGATTACCTAAAGAAAGACAACGTAAAGAAAAATATTAGGTTTTTCATAGTGGCAATATTTTTAGTAATCTTTTGTCAGGTGCATATATTACACACAATATGGTATGAGAAATAGCCTTGACCAATTACCATCAGATTGCTTTGTGAAATTCACAAATGCCAGCCACTCAGGTTAGCTCTGACTATAGTCTATTGACTATATCGAAAATACTGGGGGTAAAAGGAACTGAGACGTTAGTGGAATTTTATTGTTTAATATGTTTAATTGGTCCCTAAAGATTATAAAACCGCAGAGTGCTACCAGATATAGGGGTGCATTTCTAGGAGCGGGGTGATTTTGGCAGCTTTTTGGATTTTCGGCTATAACTCAAAAACTATGCATTTTTGGTGCCTAAATGCATTAACGTTTTTTGTAGTGTAGTTTTGCCGAGTAGGACGATGTAGTCGGCGAACCTTAGATGGTTTAGATATATGATGCCATCCACATTCACGCCTTTGTTTTCCCATGCTTCTTATGCGTATTTTGTCCATGATCATGTCGCTTTCGATCTTTACTTGGAATGTTGCGTTCTCCTAGATGTGTTTCAACAGGTTTATGTATCTTGAGTCAATCTGTACGTTTTCCATTGCTTTAAATATTGTGCTAAGGTGTATGGAATCAAAGGCCTTGCTGTAGCCTACAAAAGCCATATTGTAGTGGGACGTTGTATTTTTCTATAATTGTGTGAATTGTTTGAAGGTGATCTGTGGTGCTATATCCCTTCCAGAAACCTGCCTGTTCTTCTGGCTGATAGGAGTCCATTTTTGATGTTAGCCTGTTTATTATGATTTTTGTGAGAAGTTTATACGGATGTGGAAGCAAGCTGATGGGACTATAGTTTTCTATTGAGTTTTTATCACCTTTTTTGTGGAGTATGACGATCTGTGCATTGTTCCACGATTGGGGGACTTGTCTCAACGCATCTGTTTAAGAGAGACTGTACTTTTCTATAGGCAATTTTCAGCAGTCACCAGTTATCTGGTAAGTCTTTTATGTGCAACCCATTCTTCGGTTCGTATTTTTGGGATGAAACTTAACAAGCCCTTTTGTTAATTTTCATCAAGGTCAAAAGTCAGAAGTTTGACGTTGGAAGCCCCCTTTCCAAATTTAAGAGGAAGAATCTGCCTTATTGATTTGAGACCTCATGCTGTAAGGTCCGGTCTTGGCTCTAATTATTTTCAGGCAAGACTTTTTAGAATTTTGTGCCAGGAAAACTCAAGTTAGACTAATTTTTTGTTGATCATTGTCTAGAGTTGTCCCTTGTTCATTTCGGATTTTGATTCGGATCGTTCCAAGCAGCTTTTGGAAGTTTAAGACTTCACTTTTGGCCTAGAGTATCCCTCTAACTGAAGGATCTAGGCCAGAGTGAAGCCTTAAAGTTCCAAAAGCTGCTCGGAACGATTCCCTTTTAGCGCATTTTCTCCTCCTAGTCTTAACATTTCTGTTGTGATATCGTCCTTCCCAGGAGCTCTTCCAGATTTAAGCTGTAAAAGTGCAAGTGTTATCTCCGAGATGATGATTTCTGGTATTTCTTCAGAACCTGCATTCTTTATGTTTATGTTTTGCTCGACATCTTGGTTGTGGTGTGGTGTTGAGTAGAGTTCCTTATAGTACTCATGAATGATTGTTATGATCTTTGTTCTTTGTTCTTTCGTATTGTATGTTTCCATCCTTATCCTTTATTTGGTTGATTCTCATTTTGCCTTTTCGTTCTGACTACTTAAGGACCATCATGCCTTAGTTGTTTTCTATGACCTCTTCTATTTTTTCGGTGTTGTATCTTCTAAGGTCTTGTCTAATTTTCTTTGAGATGTTTTGGTTTAATTCGGTGTGTTCAGAATCAGTTCGGAATCTCTGTACAGACTTCCTCTCTCCGCTATTATTTTGCGAGTATCCGGCTTGAGCTTTGAATTTAGAGGAGTGTTTCGATAGTTTAGTTGCCGATTACCCAAAAAGCTGACAAACTCATCCAGCTCTTAAAAATCCACCCCTATATCTCTGGTAGCACTCCGCGGTTCCATCATCTCTAGGGACCATTTGAACATATCAAATTAAAAAAAAAAATCCACTAACGTCTTAGTTTCTTATTGAATGACATAGTCAATAGCCTATAGATACGAATACATAGGTATAGGTAAAATTATAAAGCTTTCATCAGCTCAAATTTCAAGTAGCTACGTTTCGCGATTAAATTATTACATGACTCCTGGCACATAATGCAAGTGCATAATTCACGTAGTGATAATAAATCTTTGAGATTGGAGAATGCGATATTTTTTCATTGTGTCTAGACTGTCTGGTTACCAAGTGAATTTTTCAATCACTCGTTCAACTTGTCTAAATTCAGTTTTGGATTCAACATCGGACAAGGAATAAAAATTTGGATACAAGCTAACTGGATCGCACAGTTACTTACATAGCTTTCTCACTACCTAGCTAGGTACTTCAAAACGCTATAATTGGAGATGAGTAATATTATGTTTTCAAGGCGTTTGTAGTATAAATATGGAACAAGCAAAGCCCTTTATAGATAGTATTCCACAGTTTTTTGAACAATAAACAAAATGAAATCGTTTATTTTGGCAAGTTTGCTCGTTGTAGCAGTCAGCGCGTCTTTAATGCTTGAAGACCACGTAGCGCTCTTCCGAAACTTCAAGGTAAAGCTCCAACAATTATTTGTTCTGTATTTAATATCTGTTATTTAGTTAGAGCATAACAAACAATACATGAACCAAGCTGAGGAAACCAAACGCTTTGCAGTTTTCAAAAACAACTTGAGGGCTATTGAAGAACACAATGCACTTTTTGATCATGGACTTGTGTCATACAAACAAGGTATCTAGTGAATTTTTAGGAATCTTAAGAAATACCAATTTATTTATTATCAGGTGTCAATAAGTTCACTGACAGAACCTCAGAAGAGTTCAAGGCTTATTTGGGGCTTCTCCAAAAACCCATTTTGAACACTATCAAATATGTCAAAACCGGATATGTAGTGGCTGACTCAGTAGACTGGAGAGAAAAAGGACAAGTTGGTCCAGTTAAGGATCAGGGACATTGCGGATCCTGTTGGGCATTCTCCGTTGTAAGTAGTGCCTACCTTTCAACTTGCAGATTTACACAACGGTTCATCTTCAATAGATTTCTCGAAAGCAGTTAATGAGTTAGTTAGTTCAACAACGTCTCATTTCTCATTTTCTAACGTTGAATTACTTTGATTATTTATTTATCAGAATCTCTTATTTAGACTGGTTCAACTGAAGCTGCCTTCTTCCGTAAAAATGGAAAATTAACATCTCTCTCAGAACAACAATTGATAGACTGCGTTACAGCCAACTATGGTTGCAGTGGTGGATATATGAACGAAGCTATCCTATACGTCAAAGAGAAAGGTCTTCAAACTGAGGAAAGTTACCCTTACAAAGGTATCGATGGAAACTGCCAATACAATTCATCTAAAATAGTCGCCAAAATTTCCGACTACGTTTCCATTGTAAAAGATGAAAGTGCGCTTTTGGAAGCTGTAGCTACAATTGGTCCAACCTCAGTTAATATAGATGCTTCATTCCTTGGTGCTTATCATTCTGGTATCTACGAAGATAAATGGTGTTCACCAGACGCTATCAACCATGTTGTCCTCGTTGTAGGATATGGAACAGACAATGGAGAAGATTACTGGATTGCCAAGAATTCTTGGGGCTCTGACTGGGGTGAAAATGGTTTCTTCAGAATTAAACGTGGAGCTAATCAGTGTGGTATTGCTGAAGAATGTATTTATCCACTCATTAACTGAGAACTATATTGTACCATACCTACTTAATTTTTAGATTACATACTTCAATAAATTATTTAGATATTATTTTCACGTGTTTCGTTTTTGAGCCTTGTTAACAGTCTTCTATGGAGTATTATGGAAATAATGTCCCGGAGCTTTTTAGGCTCCCCACTATTATCGCCTAACTAGCAGCCTGAAGGTAACAGGAGAGCAATGATAACCAAGAACACCAGAATAGTTTTAAATAAATATGTATGAAACGGATGATTCGTCGGTTAGGACAAGAAAAATAAAAAACTTGTTAAGTATTTGCTAACGTTTCGCCCAAAAGTTTAGGGCTTTATCAGGGCTTGTACTTAAAAAATTATGTGGCCAAGTACAAGCCCTGATGAAGCCCTAAACTTTTGGGCGAACCGTTGGCAAAGACTTAACAGGCCTTTTATTTTTCTTGTCCTAACCGACGAATCTTCCCCTTCATTGGATACCGATAGGACACGAACTTCACTTAGTGATAAATATGTATATTGATTTACAGTAAATCAAAGTAATTTACCAAATTAGGATCATTGTCTGCCAGTACACCCCCCTGGTCTACTACAGTTTCCCTCCCAATGAGTGAGTAAATGAAGTAGCTCTACTCCCCAACAAAGATCTTAGGGCCAGACGGCCGTGCAATTACCAGCCCTAGGTTAATTAGTGTGAATGTGCTTTGTTGCTTAGCTTCAATTATTTGTTGTAACCCGTGATTCAATGCACTAAAATCGGGTTGATTTTAGCTCGTGGCCCAAACTGAATTCAGGTTGACACATGCCTCCCCCATAACGCCCGAGGAAATGTATCTGGCTTACAAAATAAACTTAAAGCTACAGAATAGTACATTCTGTTGTGGGCGTCTTCTTTTTACTTCCCCGATTTTCTTGATAGTTTTTCTCTTGTAGCTGGTTTCCTCTGCACGTCCCACTCACTCTGGTCTCAAGTACCTACTTGATACAGTGCCAGAAGTTTGCTTCTTTTGTCTGTTTGGTAACTTAGGTCATTCTGGTGCTGTTGCAACGTGTCTTAGGCTAGCAGTTGGGTTGGTATATATACCGTGTCGTTCTAGGCTTGTGACTTGCCTAGGACGATCTTGTAGATGTTCACGCATTGGTCCTCTGTAGTGGATCCAGGGTGTCGTTCTAGGTTAGTGGTTGGCCTAGGTCGTTCTTGCAATGGCCTTTCCAGGGTAGAAAAGGGTCTTGGTTGATCTAGCAATGGTTTTCTGTAGTGGATCCAAGTTGTCGTTCAACTCTAGTGACTTGCCTAGGTCGATCTTGTATATCCATGTAGTCGGTCTTGTTGAATAAACTCATTTATTTATTTGGGTATATCAGCTGCTCAATAAAGGTTAGCTTTCATGTGCATCCTAAAGAACAACATTTGGACAAACTGTAGATATCTCCTACCTAAGATGAATAATTAGCTACTGTGGATTGTCTACCAACTGCGTGGACTAAAAAAACTTCCCTTTTTAATCAACCCAGTGGTTATTTTTTGGCCTTGGGCTGTTTTTTGAGCCTTCGGTAATTTTAAATCTGTAATTTTCCTGATGACAAACAATAATTTTTCAAGCATTTGAATGCTAATTCAAAGATAAAAACGATTGGACAATAAAAATTTTATCACAAGTAAAATTTGTTGACGTAGAAATCTCAAGTGGCCTGTCCTCATTGTTAGTATTTCATATAAATACTGGTCCAGAACGTATAGGAAGTCAGTGTTCTTCATTTGTAAGAACGAAAAACAAATCCAATTTCATCATGAAAGTTTTCTTCTTGGCTAGTTTGCTGGTAGTTGCCGCCAGTGCCTCCCTTTTGCAGGAGCACGCGGTGAAATTCCAAGCATTCAAGGTAAGAATTTAAAATTTTTCGATGACTTCAATGTGAGTTTTTTTTTTAAATTTCAAGATGGTCCATGGTAAAAGCTACCTGAACCAAGTAGAAGAAACCAAACGTTTCTCCATCTTCAGAGACAACCTCCGCGCAATTGAAGAACACAACGCCCTCTACGAACAAGGACTTGTCTCTTACAAACAAAGTAAGTTTTGATTGAAATCATTTCAAACAAATTAATTTGACTCTCCTTTTGCAGAAATTACCAAATTCGCCGACAAAACCCAAGAAGAATTCAAAGCTTATTTGAGTCTTCACAAAAAACCTACTCTATTGAAGACCACCAAGTACATCAAAACTGGAGTTGCAGTACCTGACTCAGTAGATTGGAGAGCACAAGGACAAGTTACTGGAGTTAAGGATCAAGCAGATTGCGGATCTTGCTGGGCATTCTCCCTTGTAAGTACCTACTTATGTAATAAAAATTTCAATAATTGCTTGATTATTTCTTCCAAATTTGCTTCTTAGCCTCTGCCATTGGTTTTTAAACTTTCTACTTTAATTGTCTTTTCAAAAATCAGCTTGTTTTTTCAACATCCTCTGTTGATGATCGTCTTCAATTGATTTTTCATGATTAATTTTCTGAATTTTTATTCCAATTAGACTGGTTCAACTGAAGGTGCCCACTACCGTAAAACTGGAAAATTGGTCGCTCTTTCTGAACAACAATTGATTGACTGCACCACTGACCTTAACTACGGTTGTGAGGGTGGATATTTGGATCAAAGTTTCCCTTACGTCGAAGAAAAAGGTCTTCAATCTGAAGAAAGCTACCCTTACGAAGCTGAAGATGGTACTTGCAGATACAACGCGTCCGCAGTCGTCACCAAAACTACGAGCCACGTTTCTATCGAAGCAGAAGATGAAAGTGCTCTTTTAGAAGTAGTAGCTACAATCGGTCCAGTTTCCGTTGCTATCAATGCCGATTACATCACTTACTATGCCTCTGGCGTATTCGAAGACGAGAGATGCACAGCTGACGGACTCGACCACGGTGTGCTTGTTGTAGGATATGGAACAGAAAATGGAAAAGATTATTGGATTGTCAAGAATTCTTGGGGTGCTGAATGGGGTGACGAAGGTTACTTCAAATTGGCACGTGGAACAAACGAGTGTGGTATTGCCGAAGACACTGTTTATCCAGTTATTGCCTAAGAATATATATACTATGTATAGCTATACTTATGTATAGCTAATTATTAAACGATTAAAAAACTTTATTCTATTTATCTGTTTTATTTTTCTAAGGCGCCTTGCAGTAAGCTTTGTTCGATTTTGTTATCTTCGTGATCGTTTCACTGTCTTATTAATATGCGATTACAAAAGCCTTGCAAATTCTCTAGAAACTTCGCTACTCTGGTAACGACGATCGGCTCTTGGACATCTCTATGATCGTGTAACCTGTAGTATAACATACCGGGGTTCATTCAGCAAGATTGAACGGTGTGAATTTTTATGACCTTTTAAACAACAAATCTTCTGAAAAACGAAATGAAAAACAAATAGGATCTACGTTGTGAAAACTTACTGTGTCATTTTAATTATAATTGTGAGTCAATAATCAATGATCAATAATTTAAGTCAATGATTCAATAATTCAATAACAGTTTAAATTAGGTACCTACCATCCTTTGTCTTTGTGCTAAAATTTTAATTCCACACACATTCAATCAACACTACCTATATTCAATACTGGAGAGTTTTTTGGTTAGTTAGCCAGTTTCACCAGCAGGTACTGAGGTCCCATACGGGAAGCTACTCACTATGGTTGTTTTTGAGCCAATATCTTCAGATTGATTATTTTAATTTGTTTGCTAGGATATTCGCTCGTTAGGGTAGGAAAATGTTAGTAAATTCAACATAGCCCTAATGCACGCTCTGAATCCCAAAAATCAAAATCCCAGCACAAAAGACAGCACTTAATATCTTTGGTTTTAATTTACCCTTTATCTGTGTTGTTTACAGCATGAAACGATTTTTGTTAAATACATGAACAATGCACATGGTATAAAAATTGTTATAAAGAATTTAAAAAAAAAAACATAAAAATGAAAAAATTTAAAAAATAAATAATATGTACTTGTATAAATTGAACTCTCGAAAACAAAATGACAATTTGGTTCCTATGGTCTGGCAACCATGTTGGATGTATCCTCTACGTCATTCGCAAAAGTCTCAGAATTTGTTGAAATAATGTGCAATTAAATCGAAAAAAGTAGTGTTGTGTTTCTGATTAACAGGTTAGTAAACCCATTTATCAAAATTCAGTGTGAAAAGTTACTCGAACCGCCACAAAAAGACTTTGTTTACGTTCATTTCGGTGTGCTGAGTGTAGGAATGTGGTGCAACGTTGCCAAATTTTGGTATTGATTACTATTGATTTTCCTTGGGATTTTGTTCTATCCTTGCCTTAGTTCTACCGATATGGATGGTAATGAGGAATTTACGGATGTTTGTTTGAAATGCAGAGAGGTTATCGAAGGTCAGGAAATTTTTGAATGTGACTCCTGTTTGAGCAAGATTCATAAAACATGTGCTGGTTTAACATTGTCAGAGCTCCGAGTGATGCCACTTCAGAAACGATTTTTGATGTTTGTCTGTGACTCATGCAGACTAATTTTGAGGAGAATGCCGATGATTATTAGCATGATTGAAGATTTGAAGAAGGATTTCTCAACTTTAAAAAATAAATTTGAATCAGAAACGAGCCCTGTGAATTTTATTCAAAATAAAGTTACATATGCTGATAAGGTCTCTGGTGAAGTCAACAAAATCAAGAATATCCCCAGCTTAATTCTAAAGCCTAAAAAAAACAAAACTCACAAAAAACCAGGGAAGACTTACACAAAAATATAAAGCTGCCGGCGCTTAATGTTGGAGTGAGAAGTACTAACGGCCAATTTCATAATCAACAAGTAAACTTTAAATTTAAAGCTCCATTTGAAGTTGAAAAATCCTATCCTAAAAGTCTATTTAGCTAAAGTAACTTTTAATTTTTTATTATGAAATTGGCCGTAAGGAGAATAATGATGGTGGAATGGTCATAAAATGTGTGACTAAGGAAGAAGTCACTTTGACCAAATATGAAAACTGTGAAAACATCATCAAAACAACCATTGATGAATTCATACTACTAAAATCGACAAGAAAAAACCCC